AGCAGAACACTGGGTGAAGGGGGACGTTGGACAGTGTAAGATATGACAAAATAATAATAATTTATAAATTATCAAGGATTCATAAGGGAGGGGGTTGGGGAAGGAGAGAAAAAAATGAGGAAAGCAAATGTGTTGAGAATGATGATGGCAACAAATGTACAAATATGCTTCACATAATGGATGGATGTATGGATTGTGAAAGAGTTGTATGAGCCCCCAGTATTTTTACAATTATTTTTAAATTATTAAAAAAAATTTAAAAATAAAAGAAGAAAGAGTTCCAAGTAATAAATGGTTCAAATTTGGAAATAAGGACAGATAGTGTACATCCAAGTTGAATTAAAAAAATAAGTAAATTCCTAAACTTACAAAAAAATAACTTGATGATATTTGTTCCATAGTATGCTGCCAGACAGATGTTCAACAATGAGGAGTTGGAAAACATGTATGAAAGGAACATGTTAAATATAGGATACTGTTTGTTTTCTTTATTAAAATATAACCAAAATTTCAAAACTCACAAATTACCTGTCATCTTCATCAGGGGGTTATGCAAATTAGCTGCAAGAAAATTGACACCCATGCCCATAGCCCAAGCTGAGTGGAATTCCACAGCTGATAAATGTGGCAAAACATTCATCCAAGCCGTCGGGAACAGTATGGTGTCCACATGGAAATCTTTCACCAGGGTAACAGCAGGATCACGGAAAAGTATATCAAAGCATGTGAAAATGCCCAGCCTCCCAAACTTGGTATCAAAAGTCACTACTTCAGGCCTCTTCGGTGAATTGAATTGAATTTCACTCATGAAAAGGTTTTGCTGTGATAAACAGAAGAGGAAGGGAGAAAAAAAAAGGAAAATTAAAGGAAAGTCTTTCAGGACTTGTCCCTAAAATCACTGAATATAAACTAATGCAAGCTCACATCTCTTAGTTGGCCAATTTTCTCTTGGCCACCACCTGCCAAGGGAAAGAGCAGTATAATAGAGAATCAGAGGCAACTCATGCTAGAAGGGGTCTTGGATTCAGCCTCCACATTCAGTAGGTAATAAATACATGGAAAACACTTAGCTCCAAAGGCCTTCTTGAATCTTACTAGAAGCAAAACAGATCATTTCTATTTGCCAAAAATACTTTCTTTGCTCCTTTCTTCTGGATACCAACTCCATCTGGTAAAGAACTTTTCATTCTTGCCTTGACCATCTCCAAGACGTATTTTTACAAGGACAGAACACAAAAGGCGATCTCACTTTCAATGCAGATAGCTTCTGGGTCTCTCTCACTCCCACCCGACTTTAAACAGGAAACTTCTCGAGGATCTTTACAAGAGCTTAAGTGATCGAATCATTACTTTCTATACTTACTTTGTCTCTATTCTGCTTCTAAAATAAGCTTATTATTATCATTATAGTAGCTCTAGTGGTGCAGTGGTTACACGTTGGATTGCAATCCACATGGGCGGCAGTTGGGAACTTTCAGCATCTCCTCAAGGGAAGGGTGGGACTTTCTATTCCCATAAAGTTATATTCTCAGAAACCCAGAGGGGGTGGGGGGCCCGCTATGAGTCGGCCTTGACTCCATGGCAGTGGGACTTGAACCGATTACAATAATGATACTCTTTCTACTAGCTCATTTTATTGTGTAAATTGAATGATTTGAAAATTGATTCTACCTTATGATAACGTGCCACCAATTTTCCTTCAGAATCATACACCACATTGGTGTTGTACTGGTAGCGGCCATCAGGGGGGCACTGGGGGTCACTGGTATTGCATGGCTTCTTGTCCCCAATATTTGCTACAACATAGATAGAGTTGTCCTTGGCCAAGCAGCTGAGTCTGTTTTGCACTGGGGTACGGTCAAACCTAGCAAGAGTTCATTGGACATGGAAAAAGCAAAGATAAAGCTTACCTTTTAAAAATAGTTTTATTAGCCTATACTTGACATATCATACAATTTAGTTGTTCAATCATATTAAGAAGAGTTATGCCATCAATACCACAATCAACTTCAGAATGTCTTCTTCTTGTACTCGTCATTGTTAACTTCCCATTTCACCAGGTGCTCCCCTGCCATGCCCCTCGGCAACTATCAATCCAGTTACTATCTCTGTAGAGCTACTAATCTTGGATTTCTAATTCAGAAAATCATACAAAACACAAACGAAGCAAACAAGCAGAAACAACAACAACGCTAGACAAAAAAACAGAGAAAAACCTTAATCAAAAAGTAAGCAGAAAATATTAAAATCTAAAACAACTTTAAACTGGGTCAAAAGGCATATCAAATAAGAAGGTATTACATTTTAAGCCAACTACATCTGCCATAATTGACTTTACAATGCTGACTGGCAGCAAGGCTGTTCAGATGCCTTGACTACGGTCAGAGGGTATTCACTGGAGGTTTAATCCACTTGTGGACACTGCAAGTGGATTTGGGGTCCCACTGTCAGCATAGCCTTCTGAAAACCAGGTGTAAACAGAATTTGGGTTTTATTATTTAAAATCCCTGGATCATGCAGGCTGGTGTGCTTCTTCCATGTGGACTTAGTTGATGCCTCATGTAACTCAACTTTCAATGAAATGCATGATAGTTGCCTAATTATATTATTATTAATATTCACAATATAACCTCTAAATGACTATAGGTAGAAAAAAGATTAAGGCAAGAAGAGAAGTCAGAAGAAAACATATTTGTGGGAATTTGGCTTACAAATATATCTAGATAGATAGATAGATAGATAGATAGATAGATAGATAGATAGATAGATAGACACACACACAAAATATTCCAGGCTAAGACTGTGGGATATAAAAATACTTCCCCAGCTTTGTCTCCCCTAATGATATGCCAAACATTAGAGGCTGTTTGCCAGCACATGGTGGGAGGTCAGATGCTTAGAGATATCCTCCCTGAAGGCATCTGGTCCACTGTAGGTGGGGCTCACACCCTACTGATACGTATAATAATTGTTTCCATGGAGAGCCAAATAACAGGTCAAACCTACTCAGTGACATCCAAAGTTAGGCTGCCATTCTAAATCTAGGACCTGCCCATCTTGTCAAATGTATACCCTAACCCCTCCCCTTCCTATTGCGTGTATACCCCTAGATTGTCCCCCTCACATTACTGTATTACCTATAGTACAACCCCTTCCTGTGATGTATGTCTTTACCTGTAATTAGGAGGCTCGCACACCCCCAAAATGTATATAAGCCTTGGTTGGCAATAAAGAGCTCTCTCTTCCCTGGTTCCTGATCCCTCTCCCCCCGAGTGCTCTCTCCCTCCCCTCTCTCCCAGTCCTCTCTCCCCTCATCCTCACTCCCAGTCCTCTCTCCCCTTGTTCTCCTTCCCCTCCCTCTATCTCCTGCCCCATACCACCAAGAGGAGCTGAGGTGAGCATGCTACTATGAAATGTGTCTGACTCGATTATTTCAATCTCTCTTCTATCTCTCATATTCTCTATGACTTTACTATAATCTTTGCTTATTACTGCTGTGCAATTGTGCCTACTGGCTCTGCGATGATTTGTTAGGGGCTGGCTACCTTGATATAAGACATGACCAAGCCCGATTTTTTTGTTTTGTTTTGTTTCCCCTCATTCATAGCATTTATTATAATCTATCATTCCGCTTTCATGTATAAATATGTGTTCATCTTAAAATGGCTCTCATATTCAATAGGCATCATGGGACAAGCACCTACCTCCCCTGCTCACTGAACCGAACACAATGCTTGGCAGAAAAGAAGAATTCAAGTGTGTTTGAAAGAATGAATCAAAACACTGTGGTTTTGTTCATAGAACTAGTCTATCTGGTCAGAGCAGAAGCGCACTTTACAGGAAACATATAAAGGGGGAAATTTAAAAGATCTTGTCAATGTCACAACATAAGGATGTTTCCACAAGAAACTAAGAAAACTGTTCCAAACTTAATAGACAAAGAAGTTTCATTGAAATTCCATTTGAGGACAGATGCAAGGACATTGGAATTTCCTTTTATGAAAATTAGTCATGGAGTGCAAAAGGAACTAGCCTGGTGAGTGAGAGGAGGAGTGGAAACTCTCAGAAGTAACAGCGATAGTCCAGGTAGGTGGAGGCCCAGACAAGGGTAGTGCTCACAGGCATGGGAAGATGGAAATACTGGAGCACGTGTGAATGCTTAATTCCTTTATTCTTCATCATAGTTACCAGGACTGTGTATTATCCCAGGAAAACAATTAAATTGCATATTAGAAAAATGCATCCCCTGCCACATGTATCCCCTAGTGCAACAGCTCTCAACCTGTGGGTTGCAACCCCTTTGAGGGTTGAACGACCCTCTCAATAGGAGTTGCTTAAGACCATCAGAAAACACATGTTTCTGACTGTCTTAGGAACCAAGACACCGCTCCTCTATCAGTCTCCAGGCGGGTCCACCCACATGCAGATATGTCCACAGATGAGTTTCAGTTCCCAGAGTGAAGACTGTTACCCATGCTACATCAAGAAATAGCTAGGGAAATTAACAGAGGTGTTCACTTATGTAAATACATTAATCCATAACAATAGTGGTATTGGCCTATGTTCGTATATTTATAAAGCCATACACTGAAGCTGCAGATGAGCCTTGGGCCACGGCTCATACTTTCCCTCAATATAGAAAACTTTGTTGTAGCACATTGACATTCTGTGACACACACACACACACACACACACACACACACACACACACTATACTCTGAAGACAAGATGGGTGCATAAGCAGATGTGGTGAAGAAAGAGGATGGCGCCCGGCTATTAAAAGATATAGTATCTGGGATCTTAAAGGCTTGAAGTTAAAGCGATCATCTACACAGAGGTGTACTCGTGAAGTGTCATCAAGACTGGGCTACAGGCATCAGAAAACTCAAAACAAACAGTAAACAAACAAATAAAAATGCATTGGTGAGAATGGAGGGGGGTTGGAGCAGAGACCCGAAACCCATCTGTGGAATGGAACATCCCCCCACAGAGGGGTCGCAAGGAGAGGTTGAGTCAATCAGGGTGCACTAAAGCACTAATGGGTCATGCACTATACATCTGATCCCTTGAGGCCTCCTCATCCCCCTGCTATCATGACCCAGTGCCACCTCCCATTCTAGACTACACAGGAGCATGTACATAGGTATAGACAAGAGATAAAACTCACAACACATGGAACCCAGGAACAGGAATGGGCATAGAGATAACAATAGGGAATGGGGATGGGGGGGAGGTGGGGAGGGAGGGGACACTAATCACAATGAATGGCACATAACCACACACCCCCATCCAGAGGGAAGAACAACAGAAATCAGAGGAGAAGGGAGACAGCAGTTGGTGGGAGATTTGAAAATAATTAACAATCTACAATCTATCAAGGGGCCATGAGGGTTGGGGGCGCAGAAAGGGAAAAAAAAAGTAGCTGATCCCAAGGGCTCAATGGAAAGTAAATGTCCAGAAAAGAACGATGGAATATATGTATGTCCGAATATGTCAGATACAATTAATATATGGATTGTAACAAGAGTTGTAAGAGCCCCCCAAAAAAGATTATTTATTTGTAATTAGAAATAAATATTTCACAATATATAATTACATATTTTTGTGATTAATCACTATGCTTTTATTATGTTCAATTTGTAACAATGAAAATACATCCTGCATATTAGATATTTACATGACAATTCAAAACAGTAGTGAAGTAGCAACAAAAATAATTTTATGGTTGGGGGTCACCACAACATGAGGAACTATATTAAAGGGCCACAGCATTAGGAAGGTTGAGAACCACTACTAGTGACACAACCTTGACACAATAAATGGTTATTAAATAACCGAAAAGGCCAAACAAGTTAATATCAGCGAATGGGAATGTAGTAGGCAAAGAATAGTGGACAATTCCCTGGGTATCAATGATAGCAACCACATCTTAGACAACTTTGTACAACTTACAGAAGCAAAGCCATAGTAATTGCCTATGAAACAGATCCTTAGAGAAGAGCAGACTCTTGGGCACCATATCTAGAAAAGTATCGTTTTTATGCATTTATACTAAAGAACCACCATGTGATATACCCCTCTTTGTTTGCATGAACTAATAACTGAAATTCACAGACAAATAAAATACAAGGACCTACTTGAAGAGGTACGTCACGTGTTGGATTTCTGAAACAGTCCTGATTACAAACATATTTTTCCTACTATTGTATTCATCATGAAAGTGGACTGTGAGAAGTAATACATTTTTATTTGAATGACATTTCTTAGACCCAGAAAAGGCCCTTAAATCTTTTGTCGGGCCACAAATTGTAATTCAGGATTTAAAAAATTCCATTTGCTTATGTGAGCCTAAAATTAGTTCATCCCTTAATCCATGTTTGCTGGATCTTTAATGAGTACAGAGCTCTGTCCTAGGACAACTAAGAACAGAAGGAAGGAGGAAAATGCATTTGCTAAAGCAGACGGGGTTTCTGAAACTGTAAATCTGTATGAGAGTACAAAGCTTCATCTGTCCCTAACGAGTATGGTGTATTTAAATCACTAACCTTGCAATTAACAGCTCAATGCCTAATACCAGGTGTTCCCTGGGTTCCTTTAATGTATCCATACAATAACGGAAAATAATGAAAACTACCATGAAATTTGGAAATAACAATCTATCTTATTCAATGATGATCAGTAATATTTCCTAGGCAAAGTAAGTTCATACTCAGGATGGATCTGTTTCTTTACCTGTGGGGGTCATTACAAGGAATCCAGTTCACTTGAGGGTCTGGGATATCTTCCAAGTATGGGTAGACAGCTTCCCTTGCTGTGAACCTCCAGCCATAAATCCCATCTTCTGGAGTCACAATAATATGTGCACCCTGTAAAAATAAAGCTTAATTAATACATTTTGCAAGTAAGCAAGCAATCAGAGAGGGCCCGGGGCACATTTCTGCCACTATCATTCTTTGAAGAACTACCGTTTGTCATTGACTGCTGTTCATGGGGACTCCATTTGTGCCAGCAGCATGCTGGTCCACAGCCTTTTTGATGGGTGAATTTTTTGGAAGTAGATTGCCAGGCCTTTCTTCCTAGGTGCCTCAGGGTCAACCTGAAACACCAACTTTTCAGTTAGTAGGTCTCCCTAACCATTTGTGTCACCCAGGAATCCCCTTTCAGAAGTAGCTCAGCCCGTCTGCATCTTAGTCATTCTTTAAAACTACCTTCAAGAAAAAAGATATTTTTCTGAGTCTGTCTGCCCTGCTTCTCCTTACACACCATCACTCAGGTTTGTTTTCTTTCTGTTATATTTCTTTGCTTCTTTTATTTTTAAACTTTATACTCACTCCTCACTTATCAATATAGTTGGGTTCCAAAATCCAAGCCATTATGTGAAAATTGATTTTATGTGAAAGTAGAGAATGATCATGTCAGATCACAAAATTGGAGCATGACTACAGTTGGGAATTTCACAAAGTTTGTGAAAAAATGGAATCAAAAGATAATGAAGTTTTTCCATGAAATTTTTGAAGCTCTCTCATATCCTAACTACCAAACTACTGAGAATCATGGCATAGCGAGTTGAAACCATCACAGCCAGTGAAATTTTCTGTTCGGCTCTTTACCGTCACCATTTCTTTCCTTTGCTTTAGCTATGCTGTGAGTAAGAGAAAGTTCCATCGTCTGTTCTGACACCACTTGGATCTTTGCTTTCTTTCCTGCCTCTGGAACGACCTTTTGCATTCTTTGTTTAGGATATTCTTGATGCCCTCCCACAGCGCATCAGATCTTCCATCATCAGTGTTTCATTCACCAAATCTGTTCTTGAGATGGTCTCAGAATCAGGTGGGATAGACTCAAGGTCATATTTTGGCTCTAATGGACTTGATTTCATTTTCTTCAGCTTCAACCTGAACTTACATATGAGCAATGGATGGTCTGATCCACAGTCAAATGCTTAATTGATTTTAGCTGCTAATATAATAATAATATAATAATAATAATCTCTTCCCAAGAGATGGTTTCAATTTGATTTCTGTGTATTCTATATGGAGAAGTCCATGTGTCTAGTTTCCTTTTGTGTTACTGAACAAAGTCATTGGTGGTGAAGTCATCGCTGGTCTTGCAAAAGTCTATCATACGATGTCCATCTTGTTTCTATCATGAAGGTCATATTTTTCAAGGACTGCTCTTTCCTCTCTGTTACTAACTTCTGCCGTCCAATTACCAATACTTGATTGCAAATTTGGTCAATTTCAGACTGCATAACATTGGTAGAATTCTTCAATTCTTCATCACTAGTGTTAAAGGTTGGGGCATATATTTGAATAATGATTGTATTAAGTGGATTTCCTTATGTTTGCATAGACATTATCTTATCACAGAAAGCATTGTTCTTCAAAATGTTGTTGTCAGGTGCCATTGAGGCATTTCCCACTCATCCAGAGTGGGGCACTGCCAGGTCCTGTGTCATCTTCACAATTATTTTATGTGTGAGACCATTGGTGCAGCCACTGTCAACCAATCAAGGGCCTTCCTCAATTATGTTGCCTCTCTACTTTTCCAAACACGATGTCCTTCTCCAGGGACTGGTCTCTCCTGGTAACATGCTCAAAGTACATGGGATAAAGTCTTCTCAAACTTGCTTCTGTGGGGCATTCTAGCTGTACTTCTTCTAAGACAAATTTGCTTGTCTTTTTGGCAGTGCATGATACTGTCAATAAACAGTTGAAATGCATCAATTCTTCTTCCATCTTCCTTATTCAATGTCCCAATTCCACTTGCGTGGGAAGTAATTGAAAATTCCATGGTTGGGTCAGGCATACCTTAGCCTTCAAAGTAGCTGCATCCTTGCTTTTCAACACGTTAAAAAAGTGTCTCTATCATTTTACCTATCCTGGATTTCAGATATAGAAAAACGTACCCCCACCCTCAAAAAACAAAAAATACCACTGAACTCTGTATGAGAGCAGGACTATTCACATCCTTAGTGTAAGGCTGCAAATCTTGATCTTCATCTGGAAGTGTTCCAGTTCCTCCTCACTTTCAGCAAGAATGGTGGTGTCATTTGCATAATGCAGATTGTTAATAAGCCTGCCTTCAGTCCTGATCTAGCATTCTTCTTCATATAAGCTAGCTTTTCTGATGATTTGCTCAGCTAAAAGATTGAAGTATGGTGAGAAGTCAAAACCTTGGCACACATAATTCCTGATTTGAAACCACACAGTATGCTCTCATTCTGTTGGCCCAATTGCCTCTTGCTTCACGTACAGGTTCCCCAGGAGCACATTGAAGTGTTCTGGAATTCCTATTCTTCTCGAGGCTACCCAGAGTGTGGGGTGGTCCACAGAGTGGAATGCCTTTGCATAGTCAATGAAACACAGGTAAACATATGTCCAGTATTCTCTGCTTTCAGCCAAGATCCATCTGACATCGGCAATGATATCCCCATTTCTCATTCTCTTCTGAATCTGACTTAAACTCATTATCAATCTGGACATGTCCTTTTGGTGATACGTGCAATGCCTTTCCTCTTGCTGGTGTCACTCCGGGCATAGTAAGCCATATGCTTTTCTGCTTCCAAATGGCCAGTACCAGTTAATTTCAGGCTATGAATGCCTAGAATATGGATCTTGAAGTGTTCCATTTTGTTTATACTGACTTCCAACTTTGCTAGATCCATACTGTATACATTCCACATTCCAAATATTGATGTGGACAGCTATTTTTTTTACCCATTTTGAGTCATAACCCACCATTCTGTCTACCTCATTAGGGTTGATTACTTCGGGAAGGCGACTCTTCCCCTCTCACATTTTGAGTGCCTTCCGGTCTGAGAGGCTTACATTCTTGCGCTGTTTCTGACAGTGTTCAGCTTCTGTTCACCAGGTTTCCAGTAACGGAAAATATTTCAATGGAATCCATAGGGTTTTCAGTGGCTAATTCCTCGAAGTGGGCAGCCTATTCCTTCTTTGTGGTCTTTTCTTAGTCTGGACGCTCTGTAGACCCCTTCTTCACTTGGGCTGATTCTGCTAGTATCTGAAATACCAGTGGCACAGTTTTCAGCACCACAGCAACACACAAGCAACCAAAGTGCAACAAACTGACAGACAAGTCCTAACTCATAGTAATCTTCAGAACCAAATCCCTTGTCCCTAAACCGCACCCTTGCTCTATCTCACTGACTGCCATGGAGTTGGTACCAATTCATTGAGACTCCCTAGGAGAGGAACTTGTCCCTTTGGGTTTTGAGAGCTTAAAGTTTCATGGGAGCCGAATATCCCAGGCCTCTCCTTTACAGTGGCTAATGGGTTAGAATCCCTGGTCTTATTGTCAGCAGCTCAGTGCATAGCCCTCTGTGCAAAAATTACTCCTCTTAATAACCAAACTACCTGCTCTCAATTCAATTCAGACTCATAGCTACCACATAGGACAAAGTAGAACTGCCTAACTCATATCCCACTGCACCAGCAGGATTCTTCCCATACTTCTAGGGAATGTCTTTGCTCTAATAATTTCGGGAAGAAAGTAGAGCTCAATGGTGCCCAGCTATCAAAAGAGATAGCATCTGGGGACTTAAAGGCTTGAAGGTGAATGAGTGACCATCTAGCTAAAAATCAACAAAGCCCTCATGAAAAAAGCGCACCAGCCTGTGTGATCATGAGATGTTGATGGCATCAGTTATCAGGCATCAAAGACCCAGAACAAAAAATCATATCAATGTGAATGAGGGGGAGTACGGAGTGGAGACCCAAAGCCCACCTGTAGACAATTGGACATCCCCTTCCAGAAGGGTCACTGGGAAGAGATGAGCCAGTCAGGGTGCAGCTTAGAACCGATGAAACATACAACTTTCCGCTCTTTGGTGCTTCCTTCCCCCCACTATCATGATCCCAATTCTACCTTACAAATATGGCTAGACCAGAGGATGTACACTGGTACAGATTAGAGCTTGCAACATTGGGTTTCCAAGTCACATAAATCCCCCAGGACCAATAATGAGAGTAGTGATACCAGGAGGGTAAGGGGAAGTTGGAGGAGAAAGGGGGAACTGATTACAAGGATCTACATGTAACCCCCTCCCATGGGGATGGAGAACATAAACGTGTGTGAAAGGGAGACATCAGTCAGGGTAAGATGTGAAAAAAACAATAATAATTTATAAATTACCAAGTGTTCATGAGGGAGGGAGGGTGGGGGAGGGAAGGAAAAATAAATGAGAAGCCGATACTAAAGGCTCAAGTATGAAGAAAATGTTTTGAAAATGATGACGGCAACATATGTACAAATGTGCTTGGCACAATGGATGTATGTATGGATTGTGCTAAGAGCTGTATGAGCCCCCAATAAAATGATTTAAAAAAAAAAGAAACTAGAGCTCATAACAGTCTACCTTACACATATGAGGGAGTCTTCAAAATCTGGTGGGAAAAATTCCATTATATTTTAATTTCTTCTTTCCACAAATTTTTTGAAGTCCCCACATATGTAATCCCAAAAGATAATAGACTCTGACAATGACCTTGTTCCTAAAACCGCGCCCTCGATCCTATAAAGAATCCAGCATACTCAAGACATAGTACCTGCTTTGCCGCAGAGGAGATGGCTCTCTCCAAAAGATCCAGATTTTGATTCATTAATGCCAATGCCTTTTCATGGGTCACTGGAGTTAGGCTGATGTTAGGCATTACCACTGCATGCTCATAAACAGCCGCAATAAAAGTATCCATGGTGCTGACTTTTACGATGCAGAGAACCGAAATTGCTGCGTAAGCCAGCAACGGAGCAGCAATCATGCTGAAGCCCGAGGATGATGAAAAACCAGAGCCTCCTGACATTTATAGAGAGAAGATACAATCAATCACATGATTCCCAGATTTCAGAATTTGAAAAACAAATTACGTAAGCCAATTTTAAGAAAACCTATGATCTCATAGCAGTCTTAGACAAAGTATGACTCTTTCTTATTGCAAGATCTACTTCCAAAAATCTACTCTTGTAGTCATTTCCTGATTTTTTGTAAAGTTGCGTCTACTTGCTCTTGATTTAGTCTGAACCTTATTCCATCTTTCTCTCAGACTGTTAAGCAAAACAGAACAAAACTCACCGCTACCTTGTCAATGCTAACGTATACCAACCCTGTCGGGCAGGGTAGAACTTCCCCTTTGAATTCTCAAGATTTTCCATCTTTGCAGACATAGACAAGCCTCATCTTTCTCCCAGGGAACAGTTGGGAGGAGAGGGGGTCAACCCACTGACCTTGTGGTTAGCAGCTCCCTGTGCTGGAGTATCTTGTTTCTTCATGTGAAGTACACAGTGCAGCCTGTTGTCTCTCAGCAGCACGGTGGTGTCATGAAACGTGCATTGATGGATTATCTTTGTTGGTGTGCTCTCAGACACTCGTCCTCTGTCTCCTGGTGGGTGTGATAGAGAATGTAAGTGCACGCACAATATGTTCTCTCATTTGCTGTTCATGTAACAAGTGAGGGTGAGACTGGCAAGTGTTGGCGGCTGTCTAGTCATGCCCAAGTAATACAGGAGTGGATAATTGCCCTCGCCCAATAGGTGGGATTATCGAAGGTATGGGTGTGGACACTGATGAGCAGCAGCACAAATGAAGAATTTACTAACTAAAAAGGAAATAAATAAATCAAAACAACGTAAGTGAAAAAGAAAAAAATTACAATAAGAAAAACTGTAGATGCCCACTGAGGAGTGGGAAAAGGACCTGGACAGAAGTTTCACAGGGGGAGAAAGAGTAGTAAATAATAGCTAAAAGAAAATGTAAAAGAGAAGGAAGAAGGGAAAAACCAGAAACGTAGAAGTAAAGCGGGAAGCAGAGAAAAAAGGACAGAAAGCAAGGAAAGGGGGAGAAAAGAAAGAAAAACCGGGGTAGGGAAGCCCCAAAGAGGAGACAGCTGTAGGTGGGATGAAAAATACTTCAAGGGACATAATTGTTATATAATAATTGCCAAAAATGAGCTGTAGAAAACATTTTAAAGTGGAATAAATACCAATGGGAAAACAAGTCAAGACAGGGGAAGGGAGCAAACCTGTATGGGGGCCCACAAACGTATGCTTGTTGGTAGGCAAGGAGGGAGGACCAACCTCCAGCTAGGGGGAGAATTACTGAAAATGCTTTAGGAGACCTTAGGCGGGAGTGTGCCTGATGGTATGCACCAAATGGGCCACAATGACCTGGACTTCTGGAGGCATTCTGGAGACCAAGACCGGGTGTCATGGAAACCTGGGACGTTGAATCCTGGATCTTCAAGGTGTACAGCATGCTCCAGAGGCAGCATCAATGAGATCTAAGGTGGAAACTCTATGGGGTGAACCAGACTCTACCTCAGACACACTTGTAACCTGAGGACTTAAGTTGGAAAAGACATGGCTGAGAAAGCGGAAGAGAGCTGTGCCAAGACCAGTGTAATGTTGGTAGGCAGGCAAGCATGATCTTGCTACTTCAATGACTGATATGCTTTATTGTTCCGGCAAACCTGCGACGGACATGCTCAGTCATTATTATTGTAAATTTCCCTACCAAGTAATCCCCATTGGTTATGTAAATAGCATCCAATCATGAAAGGATTGGTTTTGTAAAAGTGATTAATTCAGGTACTGTAATAGCCTACATTGGTCCAATATCCTTGTCTCAACTGATCTTTAAAAATTTAGTACCAGTGGCTAATCAAAGACAATATCAACAATCGATAAGACTTCCTATTGTAAATTAACAGGGCAGTTTTGAAAGGGAGCTGTGGCAGTTACATAATCAACTGTCAACTTGAGGAAGGGGTGGAGTCTAACCTGTCAACCAGGTCACAGTTTGATGACCTCATTTGGAGGTGCGACAGAGATAAATAGCTCACTGGAGGCCAGACACACTCTCCCTGTAAGACATTCATGTTGACAAGCCATATGGAACTACGCTGATGGAGCCAGAGCCATGGAGCTGGAGTAGCCACATGGAGACCCATGCCACCACTGAGATGCTTACAACACCACTGGATCCACAATACTTCCCACCCATTGGCCTATGATCTTCCTGAATTTGGCATCATTGTATGTGTTGTGTGAGTCTGAAGAGGAATCTATAGATTGGTGTTGGACATAATGGTGGACTTACGGACTTGGGCTGGACTTGGATGCTTTCTCAATATACAACTTCTCTTTTATATAAAGCTCTTTCTTATACACATAAAAGTTTCTATGAATTTGTTTCTCTAGTCTACCCAGACTAACACAGGAGCCAAAGGCGGAAAACAAACAAATGAACAAAACATAGATTCCTAAATGGGTTTGGGGCTTACACTAAATCCTAGCTCTAATTTAAGACCAATTGTTCTTACATCGTTGCCCTGCTTGATACTTGTCCTCAGGAAGGGAACACAGAAGATACAGGTGCTATAGAAAAATGTGGCAAGGAAATTAGATCTGATAAAGTAGCATCTGGGGTCTTAAAGGCTTGTCTCCAAACCAGCAGCCCTATAAGTGAGATGTCAACTAAGTCCACATGGAAGAAGCACACCCTCATTAGTCACTGAATGACTGTAACTCATATAATCCGAGTCAAAGGAGGGATTAGTATCTAATCCTAAATTGTGAGAATCCGGTTTTCAGAAGGTCATGGATGACAACAGGAGCCCAAGATACCTTTATGGGAACTACATAGGAAAGAAGTCCCCGGTGATCTCCTTCTATCCATGATTGAGGCATGGGAGGAAAGTGGGTACTAAATGGAGTGCATTGTAAAGATGAGTACATAAGATTAAAGGGTAAACCTGACTTGAACCGTTAAAATGTTATCAGTTGATCCCCCTCTGATGCACGCTGGACCTGAACTGATTTTCACCATTTTCTGTAATTTTTGTTTGTTCATATTAGGGTTTGTCTCAGAGGTGCTCTGTCATTGGGGCTCACCCTCTTGAAGTTGTGTTATATGTCTTTCTGTCTCTTGGTATATGAAACCCAGGACTGATGAACCCATAGAAAGACAACAAGTAGAATAAGGTGTTTTTTCTGTTTGTTAGTTGGTTGTGTTAGGGGGGCGGTGTACAGTGTGGTGGTAGTGGTGGGGTAAAACGGTGATGATGTCAAGGAGTCCAGAAGGAAAAGAATGTTTGGAAACTGATTGGGAAACAAGTGTACAATACTGCTTGACGTGATTGAACTATAGACTGATATGATATACGTATTAATTCCCAATTAATAATAAATTTAAATAAATATTTTTAAAATTAAGAACACAGAAAAAAAAGAAGCTTAAAAAGCACTTTAAAACATTAAATAACAGCCACCCAAGTTTCTACTATATGCAGTGCAATGTCCTAGGTGTTGAAATGAAAAATAAAACCCTGTTCGTACAGCCAAGGAACATGCATTTTTGTCAGGAGTCACACAAATGTAAATAAGAGAAAACATACATTAACTGAGAAGTTTATTGTGTATGGTAAGCATCTAAAATCTGGTGCCAAACAGCCTTTGATAAAAATCTAGGTTCTCCCAGTTATTAGCTATAAAACCTTAGAAATGTTTCTTAACCACTCTGAACCTCAGTTTCCTCATCTGTAAAATGAGAATCCAAAGGAAAGTTTGCTTATAAATTCCTATGGTGTTTCAATGAAACTGAGGGCAGACCGTTGGCACTTTCCTTGAGCGTGGTCTTCCCTGCCTGAGACCATGAAGGCCCAGCTCGAGACTGCACTTCCCAGTCTCCTTTGTTGATGGGAAGGACCACGTTACAGAATGTGAGCAGCTTCTGCATTATTCACTGGGAATGGCATTGGAGTCCTGCTCTTTCTCTTTTCTCCCTTTCTTGAGAACAGGAGCATGGACATGGCTGCACCTCAGCTTTGACCTTGCAGACCTACCTGGACCATACCTTCGAGTCTGGTTCAGCCAGTGAGTGAAAGGAACTCAGGACCTTAATGACTGCATTATGCCACCCCTACCTGTCCAAGCCATTGTCTTTTCCATTGCCTCATATGCTTGTGAAAGTTGGACACTGAACACGGAAGACTGGAGAAGAATCGATGCACTTGAATTGTGGTGCTGGTGAAGAATATTAAGAACACCATGAACTTCTAAAAGGACAAACAGATCTGTCATAGGAGAAGTATGGCCATAGTGCTCCTTAGAGGCAAGGATAGCAAGATTTCATCTTACGAACTTTGGAAATTTTGTTAGGAAAGACCAGTCCCTGGAGAAGGGCATCATGCTTGGTAAACTAGAGGGGCCACAAAAAAGAGGAAGCCCTTCAAGGAGGTGGATTGACACTGTAGCTGCAATGATGAGCTCCAACATGGAAGCAAGACAGTATTTCGTTCTGTGGTGCATAGGGTCACTAAGGGTTGGGACTGACTGAATGGCACCTAACAACAACAACAACAACAACAACAACGTTCCATGTGGGCTTCTCACTTCAGGACAGTTAATAAGCAGAGAAATAAGCTCATCTTCAAGCCACTTTATTCTAGGCCTTTTTGCTGTAACCATTTAGCTTTTCCCCACATTGTAAACAAAGACCTGTGAGTGATCAATACACAGTAACAGTCAATAACATTTGCTGTTAATGTCACTGGAAGTGGGAAGGTAAAATCATGAGTTCCGGGAAGAAAGACAGCATGGAGACGATCTACCTTAAACAAGATTTGAAGGAAGAGAAGAATGTTGACAAGTCCGAGGCAAAAGATCATCTCATGCGTTGGGGATAGAGGGGCAGGTAGGAAATGAGCAGGGGCCACAAAGTGCAACATATCAAGGCGAATTAAACCAATATGTTTGGAATGAGGAATCAGCATTGAAGCTTAATGAGAAAGAAAATAAGGACGTTGGGACTAAGATAAGTCCACTCTTCAACCAAGGAACGTTTTTGAGCAAGGTTATGAAATGAGTCAGATTGTCAAATACATATTCTGACTCTTATTACACTGGAGGATTAAATTCCCAGCATTTCTCTTAGCCTTAGCATTACCAACTGAAAGAAAGCTTACCGTACGTACAGCAGCATACCGTCAGCTGGACTAGAACGCAAACAGCCTGTACTCCCTTTGATAAGCAAATCAGAGTCTGCCAAAGGTCACCAAAGAGAGTCTGTTTGTACAGAGCCGAGAGCCTGGGGGAATTTTATCCAGTGACTACATTGACCCTGGGCGGACACCTGAACTAGTATCTCCAGACTCCTACAACCAGCGCTGAGTGGCTGGAGATGACCTCCTGGGAGGGAAAATGGGACGTCCCACTAGGCCCAGGAAAAAGGGACCCAGAGGAGAGACGTGAGCCACAGTTGTCTGGAACTTGCTGAGTCGGAGTGGACGCTATGGCAGTGAGAGGAGAGAATGAGGACTGAGGTGGGCAGTACAGCTTTTCACACTTCTCTCTGTCTCCAACAGCTAGCACTGTAAGGCAGGGTGACTCCATGACAGGCGGAGCCTTTTAAAGAGGCCGAAGGTTCTTTTTTTTTCTCTTTTCCTCCAGCTTTAAGTTTCGTTTCTCTAACAGCCTTGAGTTTCACTCCCCTAACAAAGCCACCCTCTCCCGCGAAATGAACATACCTGCCAAGGCCCAGTGATCACAATGGTGCTGACCACTCCTGGAAAAGTTCTGAGTGAACACAATTGGAATGTTCCGAGAGTGGAGCCAGTCAACCAACAAGACTTGCACAACCGATTACCTCCAGATGAAGTCATGGAAGAACTATGGGAGAGGGAGGGGGAGATAGTCTCACCCAGGAGGGATAGTGTCACCCAGTTTATGTAACCTGTAGAGAGTAGAAAAGCTTGGCTTGTGCCCCAGGCCGGGGTCCTTGTCTTTGGTGACCACTGCGTTGGTGCCTTAGCACTTGGGCCCTAGCTCGAGCTAGTCCATAAACTCCTTTGTTGTTTGCAGCCTCGGGGACTCTGCCTCTCTGTTCCTGGGGCCACGGGAAAGCCGGCAGTAACAGCACAATGCTTGGTGCTGAAAGGGCCTAATTAGCATGATATGGAAGGGCATGGACTACCGTAATTCTTGGCCCAATATTGCCTCTGGCCTGTTGTTGAACCTTGGACAGCTTGCTTCATTTGTCAGATCCTCAGCTGTTCCAGCTAATTCAGTCAGTCCAGAAAAGGTAATACACAGACTGACTTCACAAGGTGCTCTAAAGGATGAGGGAGATATGTCCTTTGTAACTTTGGGGAATTATAGAGAGCCACATATATGCGCGTGCATATGTGTGTGTATAGGTATGCATAATAAAGATTAGAAATATATCTCTGTTGCTACTAAGCATATTTGCCTATATGTTAACATTCAATAACTAGAACACTATGTGGATTTTTCATGAACATTTTCCCCATTAATAAAATTGGTTATCATTTAAAACTACATATTTTCCTATAGGACTTTTATCAATCACTGTTCTTCAGAGAAATGGAAGCAGAATAATATAACCAATAGGGGATATATAAAACTCACTTCCCATTTTTCTGGTGGTGACCACCTCCACACGTGATCGTGCCTCTCACATAGGGTCTGCTTCACCCCTCTTCAGAAAAGGAGAAGAGGAATCACAAGAAGAAGCACCTGGTGCAGAGCCCCAATTCCTACTTCATGGATGTCAAATGCCCAGGCTGCTATAAAATCACCAGGTCTTTAATCACACACAAACCGTTGGGTTTTGTGTTGGCTGCTCTACTGTCCTCTGTCAGTCTACAGGAGGAAAAGCAAGGCTCACAGAAGGATGCTCCTTCAGGCAGAAGCATCACTCAAAGAAACTGAACTAAGATGAGTGGGAAGCCATCCCAATAAACCCATTTTGGATGCATCCTGGAAAAAAACAACCTCATTTCCATAGTCAATTCTGACTCATAGCTACCCCTTTGGGTTTCTGACACTGTAAGTATGTACAGGAGCAGGTGGCCTCACCTTTCTCCCAGGGAGTGACTGGTGAACTTGAACCACTGACCTAGTAGTTAAATACTAGACCACTAAGCCTCCTAGGAGATATATGTCATTTCTATATAACAGGTTTAGTGTAAGGAATGGACTTAGCTAACTATGGAGATCTGTTGAGTGGATCTACCGGCTGAACATGCAGACAGAGATTGATGGTTTGAGTCCAAAACCTGCTGAACAACACCAGGCTGGAAACTCGGTTCTCCAGGCATTAAGGTTAGCACCTTGAAGTAGAATGCCTTCACCAGAAACTTCCCTTTTTGCCTTTAAGGGCCTTAGATGGAGCCACCTACCGCACAACTGAGTGCAATCTTAGTTACAATCAACGGACTGTAGATGTTAATCACACCTATAAAAATGCCTTTGCCACAACACTTTGATTAGTGTTTGATTAAACAACTGGCCTAGCCAACTTGACACATAAGACTATTGGTTTCTGGGATGGTTTTCCTTGCTTCTTGCTTGTCAACATTGAAAGAATTCACACAGCAAAAGCACTTTTGTAATGCAAGTAACTTTCATAAAGGAAAGGGGAGTTTCGGGTAGTAGGTAAAACAGTCTCAGATTGTATATGCTCTCCAGGAAAAGCGTGCAAGGCCACATAGCACACGCCTTGGGAGAGATCGTGACTGAAGTTGGCAACCTCGGGGGAGCGTGGAAAAACCACACGGAAGAAGTACTGGAGCAAGAAGAAGCCTGGAACCAAAACGAGAGGGCGCACACCAGAGAGATCCCGCCCTCTGACCCGACAGAGAGAGGCCTGCCCTCAGTCTCTCCATTTATCCCTTCTTGGGGCAGGGTTGGGGATGGACACGTTGTTGAGGGCATTGGCTGTTCTTAGTGGCTGGGTTCAGGCACACCTGTGACACACCTGTAACACGATGTCGCTGGTGCCTAGTGTGTATGCCCAGGTTGACCTTCATCTGTGTCTAGGTGAGCATGGTCTGAGCATGCCCAGCTTTGGAATGTCCCCAGAAGTGTCTAATGTGTGCCCAATTCCTTTCAAACCCCTATATTGTGACATGGTCAGCTAATTTTCATTTAGACATTTATCCACAAACTTCATTTCTTTTTTTTCTTTTCCTTTTTTTTTTTAAGTTCATTTTATTTTTATTTTATTTATTTTTTTAACATTTTATTAGGGGCTCATACAACTGTTATCCCAATCCATACACACATCAATTGTGTAAAGCGCATTTGTACATCGTTTCTCAAAACATTTTCTCTCCATTTAAACCCCCGACATTAGGTCCTCATTTTTCCCCTCCCTCCCCGCTCCCCCCTCCCGCATGAGCCCTTGATAGTTTATAAATGGGTATTTTGTCATATCTTGCCCTGTCCGACGTCTCCCTTCATCCACTTTTTGGTTGTCTGTCCCCCAGGGAGGAGGTCACACACAGTTCCATGTAATCGGTTCCCTCTTTCCTACCCATTCTCCCTTTACCCTCCCTGTTTTGCCACTCACACCACTGGTCCTATAGGGCTCATCCATCCTGGATTCCCTGTATTTTCAGTTCCTATCTGTACCAGTGTACCTCCTCTGGTCTAGCCAGTCTTGCAAGATAGAATTCAAGTCATGGTAGTGGGAGCGGGGAGGAAACCTTTAGGAACTAGAGGAAGGTTGTATTTCTCATCATTGTTACATCACACCCTGACTGGCTCATCTCCTCCCCGAGACCCCTCTGCAAGGGGATCTCCAGTGGCCTACTAATGGGCTTTGGATCTCCACTCTGCACTCCCCCCATCATTCACTATGGTAAGATTTTTTGTTCTGATGATGCCTTATACCTGATCCCTTCGACACCTCGTGGTTGCATAGGATGGTGTGCTTCTTCCATGTGGGCTTTGTTGCTTCTGAGCTTGATGGCCGCTTGATTACCTTCAAGCCACACAAACTTCATTTCATTTAGACATTTATCCACAAGCTTCCTACTTACCAAAACTGTTTTTACAATTTTAAAAGTAGCCTACAAACATTATGATGTGATCTTTTCATGGGAGGTGAGAAAAAGAAAGGGTCTCACCAATGAGTGATACTCTATTGCCTCAGAAACCCTTGTTGAAATCCTAAGTACTGCTTCATTCTCTCAGAGAAGAATCGAGGAAAGGCAAGCAGCTCTGGAGCTGAGTCCGGCAGAGCGCCTTCCTGCTAGGGAGAGTATATAAAATGGGGGTGTGGACGACGGGGTGTAAGCAGGAAAAGCGGTCAAAGAATATAAAAGCGGCGTGACAGTAGAAAATAAGCAGGAAAACAACTTCAAGGAGGGCAGTTTGATGGATTCAGCCCTGCGAGTGAAAACTAAGCAGGCGCCCTGGACGGAGGGACCCTGACGTCTACAACAACGCAGAAAGCAGGAGAACAGTGAGGCTTTTTCTCTTGTAAAGAGCTGCAGTCCCGGGACCCCACAGGGGCTGTTCTGCTCTGTATAGGTGACCTATAAGGTGACATAAGTCAGAATTGACTCAATGGCAGTGAGTTTGTAGTGGCTTATTACAGAGACAGGACCTCGGCTGCCTGGTGCCAGGAATAAATGCTCGGCTGTTAACTGAAGGGCCATAGTTCCAACTCACCAGTGGCTTTGTAGGAGAAAAAACCTCGTGCTCCTTATCTATAAAACTGACAGGATTACTGTGACTCAGAAATGACTCAAACACCAACAACATAACACAGAGCAAGGGGCAGACATCTGTTTGTCTGAGAGCGCTTGAGACGGAGATAGGGAGAAAAAAGCTGCAGCCACCAGCTTAATAACACAGCATCCAGACAACTGTCTAGGAGAGAGTTAAAAAATGAAACCCAAAAGGACCTAACCCAAGGTAATGAAGAGGGGAGCAGGCAGACAGAGGGCCCAGGGCACAGATACAGACTTGGTAGAGAGAGAATCCAAGAAACATGGTAGCATAGGAGGCCAAGAGCAATTTCTACCATTTAGGATGTCTCCAGATGCTTGGCCCTGGATTGGATTATGTTGGGTGGGAAGAAGCACCCAGGGAAAGCCCATCAAAACAAGGTCATACCTTTTGTAGAGAAAATAAGTGTCTTTAAACTCAGAATGATCCTCAGCTCTTTCCAATCCTCCAAGAGAGAGTACCTTCTCATGTACATCTCCCCAGCTAATCAGTGACTAGTCAGGGAGCCAGAGTCAATGGGCACAGGTCAGTTGGACATAAGTCATAGGATATGTGTTTGTAGGGGAACTCCTAGTCTAGCACCAAATATAAATATAGACATAGACATTGATATAGATAGAGATATATGTGTGTATGTATGTACATATGTATAGATAGCCCCCTAAAACCACTGCCATCATCTCCGTTCCAACTTACATTGACCTTATATCATTGCATTGGGTAAGTATGCTGCACAAGACCTCTTTAAAATGTTGAAAAGCAAGGATGTTATTTTGAGGACTTAAGTACTCCTAACCCAAGCCATAGTATTTCAATTGCTTCATATACATGTGAAACTTGTAATAAGGAAGACCAAAGAAAAATTAATGCATGTGAATTGTAGGGCTGGCGAAGAATGGTGGGCGGCCATCTGTCTTGGAAGAATACCAGTATGCTCCTTAGAAGCAAGAATGGCAAGACTTTGTCACATATATTTTGAACATGCTATTAGGAGAGCCAATTCTCTGGAGAAGGACATCTTGCTTGGTGTGGCAGTTATATAATTTCTAGTCAACTTGAAGATATACCTCCTGGTGGGTGTGGCCTTCTCATAAGGAGAATCCTGAGAACTTCCTCTCTCTCTCTCTCTCTCTCTCTCTCTCTCTCTCTCTCTCTCTCTCGGCTTTCACCTTCCTGTGGAAGAGCCAGCATGGGAGCCACAGAACCTTGGGATGCCACCACCACCTTTGGATCCACAAGACTTTGCATCCACCAGCTGGTGGTGTTCCTACATTTTCCATCATTGCATGTGGAATTCCGACTCATTGCATGAGTCGGAAGAGGGACTTATGGACTAGTATCAGACTTAGGGATTAGCATTGGACTTAAGGACTTGATCTGGACTGGGCTGGGATGTTCGCATGATATATATTTACTTCTTAATATAAAACTCTCTTATGCATATATATGAGTGTCACTGGATTTGTTTCTCTAGCCAACTCTGCCTAATACATTTGGTGAAGTAGCAGGGCAAAAAAAGGAGGAAGCCCTTCGACAAGACGGAGTAGCACAGTGACTGCAATACTGGGTCAAAGATAAGAACAAAGGTGATGATGGTTCAAGGGCTGGGCAGGGTCCCTTCTGCTGTAAAGAACATCGCTATGAGTCAGATCCAACTCAACAGCACCTAACAACATGGACCCTAAATAGAGTTTCCAAGATAGAACACTCATAAATCATTGAGTGTAGAAAGAGATTAACCAGGATTGGGTAGATTTTCATAAAGAATAATTGCAGGACAAAGCCCACATGGAAGAAGCACACTAGCCTGTGTGATCACAAGGTATCGAAGGGATCAGGTATCAAGCATCAAAGAACAAAAACTCAAATCATTGTGAATAAGGGGGAGTGCAGAATGGGGACCCAAGACCCATCTGTTGGCAACTGGACTTCCCCTTACAGAAAGGTCGCAGGGAGGAGACAAGCCAGTCAGGATGCAGGGTAGCAATGATGAAACATACAACTTTCCTCTAGTTCTTCAATGCTTCCTCCCCACCCACCCCCATCATGATCCCAATTCTGCCTTACAAATCCGGCTAGACCAGAGGATGTACATTGGTACAGATAGGATCTGGAAACAAAGGGAATCCAGGACAGATGATCCCTTCAGGACCGTGGTGTGAGTGATAATACCGAGAGGTTGGAGGGAGGGTGGGGTCAAAAGGGGGAACCGATTACAAGGATCTACATATAACCTCCTCCCTGGGGGATGGACTAAAGAAAAGTGGGTGAAGGGAGACGTCAGACAGTGGAAGATATGACAAAATAATAATTTATAAATTATCAGGGTTCATGAGGGAGGGGGAAACAGGGAGGGAGAGGGCAATGAGGATCCGATACCAAGGGCTCAAGTAGAAAGCAAATGTTTTGAGAATGATGATGGCAACAAATGTACAAATGTACTTTACACAATGGATGTATGTATGGATTGTGATAAGAGTTGTATGTGCCCCCAATAAAATGATTTTTAAAATAAAATAAAACCAGAAAAGATGTGCAGCAAAAAAAAAAAAGAATAATTTCAGGAGAAAACAAGTCTGAGGAAGGTCCTTACTGTCTATCTTAACCACATCAGAAGTGTCTAATTTCTGTGTACATAAGCCACAAGAGTTAAAAAGTTATGATAAAGAGATAATGGGACAATTGTATTTTGATAAAAGGTTATGATCATTTCAAAAGGTTCTCTTTTCTTAGACAACTCCTTCTATTTTGATTAAATGGGGAAAAATCTTTACATAGTCAAGGTTTACCGAAATGCACTCAAAATTTCACATTGGCACACAATAGAGCCGTGTTCTATGTCTCCATCCACATAAATATATTTTGCACTATACGTGAACTTAAATACACATATATTGAAGAGTAATACAATTCCCATAGTTTGTGTTACACTAAATGTATGAAATGTAAAAAGTGCACTCATATCCATTGATTTTTAAATCTTGTATTTGTGCTTTAATAAATCTCTGACGTCTGATCTGAATAATCCGTTCTGTTAAGGGCTCTCTTTTATTTCTCCCAGTCTGTGCCAGGTTAATTCTGAAAAGGTAAAGGAGATCATTGTAACTTCCCAGGCCCTTGTCCTAAGCGGGGAGGGTCTTTCTCAAACACTCTTCCATACAGAGCCGAAACAAGAACAGGCAAAGAGGCTCCGCTTCGGCTCCTCAGACGGCCATCTCTTGAAACCTGATCAAAGAGAAGAAAGAGTTAACCCAACGCATGCTTGACTTTCAGTCCAGAGCACTTCCCTGGCCCCAGCATTTCACAAGGAGTAGAAAACAAAGACTCACACCCACCCAGTGGATTCCAACTCCCAGCTACCCTATAGTACAGAATAGAGCGGCCCTGGTGGGTTTCTAGAAACTAAAACTTTAGGGGAGAAGAAAGCACCCTCTTTTCCCCCTAGAGCAGCTAGGAATTTTGACCTCTGACCTTGCATTTAACAACCCAATTCGGAATCCACTACACCATCAGAGCTCTCAAACTCATTGCTACCAGTCGATTCCCACTCGTAGTGACCTGTAGGGCAGGGTTGAACTGCCTCAGTGGGTTTCTGAGACTGTAACTCTTTACAGGAGTGGAATACCGGAATGGAAAGCCTCGTCTATCCCTCCCGAAATGGCAAGTCATTGCTAACTGCTGGCCTTGCAGTTATGACCCCCAAAGCATAACCAGTGTGCCACCAGGGCTCTAGAATCATAAAAAAAAAAAAAAAAGGATTTGGTGTCAGAATACACAGATTCAAGCTCCAGTTCTCTTAGCTGAGGGACTGTTATGGCTAAACCATGCCCCCCTAGAAAGATATGTTGAAATCTTAATTCCCACATCTGTGACTGTGACTTTATTTGAAAATAAAATCTTTTGCTTTGAAAATGATGGTGGCAGCATATGTGCAAATGTGCTTGACACAATGGCTGTATATATGGATTGTGATAAGAGCAGTAAGAGGCCCCAATAAAATGATTTTTTAAAAGAACATAAAGTCTTTGCATATGTAGTCAGGATAAAAGGAGGTTATTAGGGCAGGCTCTCATATAGAGTAACTGAGTGTAGGGGGTATGAACATTCGGCAACTGTAAAAGGTTTCTGGGTGGGCAACAACCAAAAAATTAATTCAGAATCAAATATATAATGAATCCTAGATGCTTCTGCCAGTGCTTGCCCTTGTTGCCAGTTTCCTGGGGCCAAAGGGGTCATCAGTGGGAACAGTTTTAGAAGCCCTAAGTGTTCCAGCTGGGGTGTAGCACACATGAGAAGCTTGGAGACTTTCCAAGAAATGTGAAGACAAGGGGAGTTTAAGGGAGCAAGCTTGCTGGTCCCCAGCTCCCCTGGTGCCTGTTGCTCAAGCTGATTTGTAGTAAGGTGTCACTCATTGTAGGAATGTGTTAAGGCAGCCATTAAAATCTAATGTAAGGACATTGGGAGAAAAATGTCGCAAATAATTCTATGGCGTAACATGGCGAAAGTCAATTTGGAATCGTGATTTTTAAAGCGTTCTTTCAATCAGTGAAACACTTCAGGAAACCTGTTGTCAACTTGATTGCAGCGCACAGTGACCCTAAAACTCACTGTCACTGAGTCCATTCTAACTCATCGTGACCCTACAGGGCAGGGTAGAGCTGCCTGTGTGAGTTTCCCAAACTGTACCTCTGTGAAGTGGAAAGCTTCATCTTTCTCCCATGGAGCAGCTGGGGGTTTCAAACTACTGACTTTTCAGTTAGCAGCTCACCGTGTAACCACTCCACCACCAGGGGTTTTGGTAGTGACCCCATAGAGCAAAGTAAAACTGCCTCCCAGGCTGTCTGATGCGGTGGTCTGGCAGCCACTGACGGTCAGATCTCTTTCCCTTAGAGCAATCGGAGGGTTCCTTTCAGTAAACAGTGAAGCTCTGAGCCACTGCACCAACAGAACTCTTTAATGAAGCAATATACAAAGTGATGATAATATACTTATTATCATCAGTGTAACAAGTTCTCAAAATAGCGTTCCCACGAAGCATTAGTAGTAGAAACGTTATTCAAGGTATTTCATGTGGGCTCTCTTCGCCATGAAAATGAAGAGAGCATTAATTACCATTGGGTGGCAATATCTAATTTAAGTAGAAAAACAAGCTTTAAATGATCTATCACAGGCTAATAACAATCTAGAACTACAACTTGTGTCACAAATCATAGTTTTTCCGTGCCTTCAAAGTCTTGTGTACACTGTGAACCACAATACTGCAAGACTGTCACTACTTCAAAGATTTTCATGTGCCCGGCTACCCCATCTGTTCAAAGAACTATCTCATCCTGAAAAGCACCCACCTCATAATGTCGCTCAGAGGCCAGTTGGCTCCCACTTAGAGCCATCTGGGGGAAAACATAGCTCGTTCCAAAGGTGCCGCTGAGGGAGAATTCTTCAAACTTGGTAAAGGCGGACCCCACTGGCTCCCCACAAGTTTTGAGATCAGTGGTCTGGCACTTCAGTAATGTGCATATCTATGTAAGAGAACACAGGAGAGGTGGTGAAAATCACTGGAACAAGAAAAATCAGAAATGTTCTCAGGTCAGAAACCCAGTTTCGCATGAAAGGAGAATATTCTGGAAGTTGCTTCTTAAGCAGTGTTTTTCAAATCCCAGTTTACAGTCTACTAGTGAGTCCTGAGATCAGTATAGTTTGTTAGGATTGGCACTTTCATTTTAATGAAGCCAAAATTAGAGTGCATTGTACATAATTATGGCTGTTTCCAGTTCTAAGATTCACTGAACCCAGTATAATTTTAAAAGGAGTGCAAAGAATGGGGGGTGGGGGACAAACAAAACAATCCTGTTAATAAAATTGGTTTTTGTTGTTGTTGCTAGTTGCTGTCAAATAGATTCCAGCTCATCGTGGCCCCATGTGTGCAAAGCAGAGCTGCTCCCCAGGGCTTTCCAGGCTCCAGCCTTTAGAAGCAGGTCACCAGGTCTTCATTCCGAGGCATCTCTAGATGCCAACTTCTACTAGTCCCAAGCTTAGGGAGCCTGGAAAGATAGGCTCCCTGGGAGAAAGATGGAGCAGTCTACTTCCATGAAGGTGTCAGCCGTAGAAACCCTATAGAGCAGTTCTACACTGTCCTTCGGGATCACAGCAAGTCAGAATCTACTAGACAGCAGTGGGTTTTTGTTTGGTTTTCTTCAGTCCAAAGCTTAACCATTTACACCACTCAGGAACTCCAAAGATGTTCTAAGACCTAGATATTCGAACCTGTCTACCTGTAAGTAATATTGGCCTTCTACTGTGTGCAGTCCATCAAAAACGCCAAGTGCATATGCTTCGTCCATTCGCTTCTCAGACATCCTGTAGGTTAAGTGGCAGCACAGGTCTTTCTGGCAGACGGTGTAATTTCCTGTGTCTTTCTTAAGCTCCGTGAACGTGAACTTGTCAAAATAAATCATTCCAGGAAAATTTGACTGTTCACAAGAGGACAGCTTGACACTTTGGGCATAAGCACTCCAGTCAACAGAGGCAGGGAAGGTGGGTTCAAGGCGAGGCCGGGCACGCAGTTCGGCGAGCAGCAGCTGCCCACTCTCCGTTTCCATGTCGTAGTGGAACACCCTGACTGCTTCCGGTGCATAGATTCCACTCCCTGCAGACGAGGCAAAAAAACATAACCAATGGTCTCAATAATGGTCATGGTCCCAAACTAGAGATTTTTTTCCCCATGAAAAATAAAAAATGTTAAGATATGACCATTTTCAAGATAGTTAAAAAGATAGGTGCTACAGGGAATTATATTTCCTTTTGACCCGCTAGATCTTTCACACAGTATCCATGAGAAATTTATCACTTGATTATACAACTTAAGGGAGCCCCAGGATACAAGTATTTACGTCCTCAGCGTCTAACGGATACAGTTCCAACTCAACAGTCAGTCTCCAGGGAAGATAAAAAAAAATCTGCTTCTGCAAAGACCCCCTCAACCAAACCAAACCCACTGCAATCAAATAGATTTCAACCTTATATATGGTTTCTAAGACTGTATAGATTTATAGGAGTAGACAGCCTCATCTTTCTCTCATAGAATGGCTTGTTGTTTTGAACCAGTGGCCTTGCTGTTTGCTGCCCAAAGCTTATCCCACAGCCTCATCAGGGAAAAGCCTATTTGGCTTACAGTCTCGGAAACTCTATGGCAGGGTTCCACTTGGTCTTCCACTAAGGTCTCTATGAATTACAATGGACTGAACTGCATATGATATCAGCAACACCAACATCATACCCTTTAGTTTTGGCCAACTTGGCAAGAAATTAAAAAGTACACACACACACACCACCCCACAGTGCTCTACTGACATTCGATTTATTTGTGTTTACGTTTTCTCATCTGGATAATAAACAGCAAAGCCAACAAGAGGGGAGACCTTTGTCTATGTTACTTTGAATGTGGGAACTATAAGAGACAGACTAAAAATTTAAGTAGGTCTAAAGTGCTATCATCCCTGAAGCAGCAAAAGCAATTTCCCACTATTATTAATAAAACTGATGTAGCTAGGAAATTCCTAGTTTAGATTGCTTGTGTGACTTGACCTCTCTCTAACTCTATTTTGCCTTCCTGCAAAATCGAAATAATAATTGCCTTTCGCTTCATTTATGGAGTTATCATCCTTTCACTAATGTTGGTATAGAAATCTGTCTTCTTATTAATTTCATGATATTAAAGCTAGCACAATCCTTAAAGAAAAGCCTGCCTTGAACATCAGTTAAAATATCCCCAGAGAGTCCCGGACATGATGGTCATGACCCGTGTGAGGTACCTGTCATGTGCATGCTGGTGTTATGGGTGTTTGCAGCCAGGAGGTTGACTCTCATGGCTCTGGCCCAGGCCGAGTGGAAAGGAACTGCTGAGAGGAGGGGCAGAGTGTTGTACCAGGCCGCAGGGTAGAGGACGCTGTCCACTCCAAGGTCATCCACCACAACCACAGCCGGATCATGAGAAAAAATATCAAAGCAAGTGAAAAGACCAAACTTCCCAAAGGGAGTCTCAAAGGCCACCAATTCGGAATCCTTAGGGAAATCAAACTGAATTTCAGGTGCAAAAAGGTTGTACTGTTAACAAAAAGGAAAATTAGTAAGAAAACTGGCAATTAGATGCAATCAACAACATAAGATCATTTTTCTTTCTTTCCTTCTGAAGGTTGCTGTGCATATTTAACACTGTTAGACATAAATGTTTATAAATCATATTCAATCTTCTACTTTCTATATGAGTTTCCTTACTCTGATGTTAACCACAAAGCCTTTTTGTTCTTGTGATTTGGCCCCATGTGGAGGAGCCCTGGTCGTGTGCTGGTTGTGCGTTGGGCTGCAATGGAAACTACCAGCAGCTCTGCAGGAGAAAGACTGGGTTTCTATTCCCGTAACCAGTCACAGTCTTGGACACTCACAGGGGTCACTATGAGTCAGCATTCACTTGACGGCAGCAAGTTTGCTTTGGGGCGGGTGGGGGTGGGGGAGTGTTATTGGTGTTGTAGCAACATCCTCTGTCCTTTTCTTGCCCTGTCCCTTACTGTGACTTTTCTCCTCAGCACCCACATGGTGATGGGCTCAGAGAAGACAGGGGACCTAATTGTAATCAAGAAGTGACGAGGCTTTGAAGGGTCCCCTTTGAGGAAGAAGCATATTCTATCTCTGGATTTTGTTGCTATCGGCATGTGAGCTTCGTACTGTTGCAGGAATGTGGCTTCCCAAAGGATGCAGGCATGAGGAGAGGAAGCTGTGACAAGGACTAAAGCGGTTGGAGAAACTGAGGCCTCCTTGTGAGCTTCAAAGGCATGCTGCTCCTAAAACTACAAAGTCTACCTTTTTCATGATAAACATGTGCGAATATTTTCTATTATCTTTTCAATCTATTTTTCCATGAGCGTTTTGAAGGCCCCTTCTATGTTGTTGTAGTTTCATGGGCAAGGAAATCCCCATTTTTATTTAAGCCAGTTTTAGTTGGGGATTTGTATTATAACCATCAAAAAAGTCCTACTTGAATCAAATGGCAGTTTAGCTCAGTATAAAATATCAACTAATTGGGCCAGGAGAAAAACAAACAAAAATCCTAACCCTGCAATTAAATCAAGTATTAAGCAGAGCACTTCTTCGTCAGAGCATATTAAAATCTGTTGAGGCTGTTACCACAGCCATCATGAAGCCTAGTATTCTGCCATGTGCTATTCCATGACTAATTCAAACTCAGCATCCTTACATGGGACTGAAGTAAAAGCACTACTTTTTCAAAGTAGACTGTAGTAATTGAGACATTCTGCCTTTCCAGTTCTCTTCCCAACATTCAACATTCATAAAACCATAAACAAACAAAAACAGTCAAATCAGTTTAGTTAGGCAAAGTAGTTCTCACCTTGTGGTAGCGCGCCACCAGTTTACCCTCAGAATCAAACACCACATTCGTGTTGTGCTGGTAATGGCCATCAGCAGGGCACTGAGGGTCATGGGCATTGCATGGCTTCTTGTCCCCAATGTTTGCCACAATGTAGATGGAGTTGTCCTTGGCTAGACAGCTGAGCCTTTCTTGCACTGGGGTGTGACCAAACCTAATCCAATAGATATTGTTTTATACTTACTATGTGGAGTGATTCCAAATTACCAAAGTGATACTTTATTTGCCTGTTATCTATTACCTTGTCAATCTAGAATAAGCAGAAATTATAACAGGGACTGTTTGCTACTTAACAGAGAGATACTCATCTACTCTGGGTCAGGACAAGTCTCGGAACTATTTGTATGGTCTCTCTCTCTCTTTTCCCTTTTCTTTTGGTGTCTATCTATATAAAATAGGCACAGTAAGCGATCGCAAGGAGAAGCTACAGGACTGATGGTTCTTGGGGTACGGGGCGTGGGAGAGGAAGAGGTGGGGGAGGGGAGCAGTGAGCCAATAACGACAGGGACAGGGGAATAGCAAGGGATCTAAAATGACTGTGAGGGAGGTATTGCATTCCTGGTCATGTCTGATCCATTGAAATGTATCTGTGAAGAATTACTGGGCAGTGAAAGATGGGTAAACATGATAGTTGGACAGGAGGAAAGAAAAAGAGGAAAGAACAAGAGAGTAAAAATTATATATATATAGGTATAAATACAGATAAATAGTGTCTGGGATCTTCAAGGTTTGAAGTTAAACAAGTGGCCACCTAGCAGGGAAGCAACAAAGCCCATATGTAAGAAGCACACCAGCCTGTGTGATCATGAGATATCGATGGGAATAGGTTTCAGAAGTTCAAAAACAAACAATCAAATTGTCTTTAAGGAGCATAGACAAAGTGGAGACCCCAAGCCCACCTGTAAAATAATTGGACAGTCCCTTTACAGAAGGGCCACATGTAAGGGATGATATATCCAGGGTGCACTATAGCACTGATGAAACACGTAACTATCCTCTAGTTCTTTAATATTTCCTTCCCTTACTATTATGGTCTTTGTTTTACCTCATTGATCTTTTTAGACCTACATGTGTTCATTTGTATAATTAAGATCACTCGATGCATGAAATCCAAGATAAATAAACACTATAGAAATAGAAATGGGAGTAATGATTCCCTGAGGGTACAGGAAAAGAAGTGGAGAAGGGGGAACTAATAGCAATGATGACTGTAAACCCCACTTGAGAGGAATGAATAACAGAATTGCAGGTGAATGGATACATAGGCTAGTGTAAGATATGACAAAATAATATAAGGGAAAGGATAAGAGGGAACCGATATCAAAGATGGTGGCAGCAGTTGTAAAATTATACTTGGATTTGATTGAATTATGGATTGTTATAATATCTGTAAGAGCTCCCAATAAAAGGACTAACAACAACAACAACAAAGAAGAAGCAGAAAACATTTTTTAGAAGCTCATTTTCAATACAGTTTTCATCAATGCAGTCTTATTAATGCTCCAGGCGATAGCTCAAGAAGAAAGCAGAAGAAATGGAGGAAAAGAAGAAGTGGAGCAGGAAAACCAACCCTCTCTCTTATAAAGTGCTCCCAGGAAGGGCTTGCAATTTCAACAGCCCGCTAATGCAGAGGAGTGCTGCTCTAGTCCAAGCCAGTTCTTCCACACTTGCTGCAGTGTGGGGTGGCCAGAAACAGAAAGAACAGTAAGTAGCTAGTCCCATGTCTAAGATGGCAACCAAGACACTCAGTGAAAGAAATAGATTAATTTGTCCCTGGAAATGTCTGCTTAAAAAGTGCCCCATGTGTTACTCATATGGTCTTGTTTGGAATCTGTTGTTGTTAGTTCCTACTGATTCAATTCTGACTCATGACACTTCACAGGGCTTTCAAGACTGTAAACTTTCAGAGGAGGATGAGCACGATTTCCTCCAGTTCTTCCCATGCAGCGATGTGCTTCACACGTTCATCACTGCTTTTTAGCGATGCATAGTACTCCATTGTATGTATGTACCACAGCTTTTTAATCCAATCATCAGTTGATGGAAATTTAGGTTGTTTCCAACTCCTTGCCATTGTTAATTG